ATACACTCATTGCTCGCAGTGAGGGCATTGGGCTTTGCCCGTTTGTTGGAGTTCTTTATTTTTAGCCTTTTTTTCTTTCTCAAATTCTAGTTGTTCCAGGTAGGCTTTTTGGTATTTCAAAAACAATTCTCCTAGGGTTAAATTGTCATTAAAAGCTGCTCGACGAAAAATGCTATCGTTTTTTTGGGGGATGGAGACTGTTGTTTTTACGTTTTCTGGTTGTTTATTCATATGGATTATTGTTTAACTTTTTTACTAATATAACATTTGACTTCACCACTTCAATTTTTAATAAATTTACTATGATTTTTTAATCTATTTTTGGTCTACTAATTTAATATTTTTATTATTTAATTTTGAACTTATTAAATTTTATTTTTTTAGTATTGTTTTTAGACCTTAAATTTTTATAATTGTTTACTTTCTTATAGTTGTTTTTTTTTTTTTTTGCTGGTTTAAATATTTAATTTTCTTATTGTAAAATTTTTGAATGAAAAAATGTATAAAATATATAATGTGATGACTAACGAAAAACAAGTTAACAACACAGCACAAAACACAAGAAATACACAGCCAACAACAGCGTCCAGTAGTGGGACAAATGGCAATCAAACAAGCAAAGAAAAGGGAAAAGAAAAAGAACAAGAAATTATAAAAATGGATGTAGTAAAAGAGTTAAATAATTTGGTTAGAAATGAGGAACTGGCGGCGAACGAAGAAGAATGAAAACTATTTTGAGAATTACCCGAAATTATTAAAAAGAGAGACGAAAAAAAATTATTAGAAATTTGGGGAGATTGTGATTGAAGCGAAAAATACGATGAATTATGTGAGAAGATAACAAAATGTAACCAACAAATAGATGAACGAAACGCAAGAATCGAAGAAAATAACAAATTTGTCGACCTCTGAAACGAAGACGGCTTTTCAAAAGAAAAGAAAAAACAAGAATTAGCCCAAGAGTTCACAGGATTAAATAGTATTCTTTATCGGCGATTAATAGAAAAGGCAAACACCTTGCGAGAAACGTCAACGGGAGCTAAAATCTATTCCCATGTTACCGCTACTGTTTTTAGTGCCATCCCCTTTTTAACCGCAGTAGAATCAAGCCGAGGAATTACCATAATTGACGACTTACAAAAAGACCTTGAAAAACGCTTCACTCCTGGCGAAGTTAGAGAGATAGTGGAGGAATACGAAGCCGAAACACAAAAAAAACTCATTGTGATTAAGAACCATTTAGAAAACGAGCGGTTAGTTGCGGACGAAAGAATAACAAACTTAGAACAAAGCCTAAACGAGGCAAACGCACAAAACACGGCACTTACTGAAGAAAAAAGAGCAGAGGAAAAGAAGGAACTAGAAAACGAACGAGTCATTAACGCCAAACTCCAAAAAGAAAAAACAGCCCTAGAAAGCAGCGAACAAGTAGCCATCCGTAATTTAGCCGAAATCAAAGCCGAATACGAAGCCTTACAAAAGCAAAACCAAAGTGACGCCGAACTCTTACACTCTTACCAACAAAAAATCATTGAACTGTTGGCATTAGCCCAACATAAGGACAAAGAAATAGAAGTGTTAATGCTTGAATGACAAAAAACCTTTTCGCAGTTTAAGCAGCGAGGAAGCAAGTTGGAAATATTAAGACGAGAAAAAGCCGCCCTAGAAGTTAACCTCAATGCCGAAAAGCGAGAACACCAAAGCACAATCAGAACCAAAGAAGCCGACGTGGCCTTCGTCCAAAAATGCTACGAACAAGAAAAAGCCGACAAAATAGCCGCCCAAACTGAAAAAGAGCAAATGCGTTTGGACTACTTGGATATGATGAATCAGCGAGACGAATACAAAAACGCCCTAGCCCCGCAATGACTACGAAAACTAACTTACCGGACGGACTGATTGCTAGGAACCGAACTAGAAAAAAGCAGTAGTAAACTTTGAGGCAAGGGAAAATTGTGAGGCCGTTGATTACTTTTGCTACTTTTTGCCTCTATTGCTTTGTGGGTTCTCTCTTGGATTGTCCGCATACTCGCCGCAGTGTTTCGCAACATTGCCGCCATATTCCGCAAAAAGCAAGACACAGCCTCCGTCTTAAAAGAATTAGTTTCAGGCATGAAAGAAGCCAAAAACAGCCTAACCAAGAAAAAGCCACAAGAGCCCAAAGAAGCGGAAACGGACAAGGTTCAACCAGTAAACGAAAAAACTTCCCCTATATCTGAAAAATTTTCCGAAGTTAATCCGGACGAAAAAGCAGCAGCGGGGAGAAATTTCCCGAAAAATGGCAAAAAGGGCAGAAAAAAAACAAAAAATAAGAAATAATTTCGGATTATTCCGAATTAGCGGAGTTTTGCAACTCTGGTAATTGGGAAATTAATCAAGGATTAAACCCACGACTGGAAGGAGATATTGGAACAACCAGCCGTTAAGTAAAAAACCCAACCAAATCATTAACAACTGAATTTTCAATTGTTATATTATATTTTTAACTTTTGATTTTTTTTCTTGTTGGTGGTTGAGTCGTCCTTTCCTCCCCCTCCTTTTTCGGAGATGAACTCACCGAGGTTCGTCAAGCGTTTTTCATTAAACAACCCTCCACCCGTAAGAATTATTTAGTTCTTTATGGTATTGGTTCTTAGCCCCCACCACATTCCCTAATTTTTATAAGAAAAAAAGAGAAAAAGAAAGCAATTTTTTGTTCCACAAAAAATTGCCAAAGAAAAAGAAAAAAGAAAAGCCAAAAAATCCGCCGCGCGCGCTCGCGAGAAAGGCAGTCTCCTCTTTCCCGGTTTCTCTCATGCGTGTAATGATACCTTTTTTTCCGTCCCAAATGCTTCCCATTCGCTTACAATTTTCACTCTCCTAATGATTTACACACAAAAGAAAAAGCAAAGGGAAAAGATAAGCATAATATCCAACAAAGATAATACTTTTGTTCCACATTGTTCCACACTAATTACGGAGTAATTAGAGATAAAAGCTCCGAACATTGCGTAAACCAAAGCTAAACAATCTATCCTCGGAAAATTTTTCAGAGATAGGGGAAGTTTTTCATTCGGGCAAACCAGAAATAGATTTTAGGTTTTATACTCTTACAGAGTAAGAGTTTTAAAATCTATTTTAGATGGTGTGGAACAATGTGGAACAATTAAATATATAATATACTGCGTATATTATGAAAAAAGCATCAAGAGGCCAAGAAAAACAAGAAAAAGACCGCAATCAATACTTTTCTAGCTACTACGAAAAACACAAGGCGGAAAAGAAGGAACAAAGACGGAAAAACTATCTCCGCAATAAAGCCGAGAGAGAACAAAAGGCAAGGGAAATTTTCCGGCAGACTTACACGGCGGACAATATTCGGGTGCTAATGAGTTTTAAGCAATACAACGAGTTACGAGCCGAAAAGAAAAAGAGATGGTTAGACTTGGTTTGAACGATACGAGACTTGGCGGAGAATGATGTTAGTGATGTCAGCCAAATCCAGCAACTACAACTATTAGCAGGTAATCTCGTTAGAGATTATTACGAGACGGCAAAACGAGAAAGCGGGATGAAAAGTAAGTGAAATTCTTTAAGTGAGGAAAAACAACAAAATCTTATAAGATTTTGAGCGAGGGAAAAAGTTTGGGAGAATGAGTTTTTAGATGAGCAAAGGGAAAAGAAGAACCGAGAGGCCCGAGGGTTGGAGAAAGATATTGAGATGGCGAAGTTTCACGAGGCACGAGGGAAGGTTAAGTGTGAATGTTGGCAATGCGAGAAAGAGAAGGAAGCGAGGAAGGAGGTAAAGCGAGAATGAGTGAAAGAGTTGGAGAAAGGGCAAGAGAACGAGGAGAGAGAGGAAATGGAAAGCGAATGTGGGGAGTGCTACGAAAATAAGATGGTGAGTGTTGATAGTGGACTTTGTCGGAAGTGCGAAAAAGAGGAGACGGGGGAGGATTAGCAGCCCGCATTTAAGCCGTGAGTAAAAGCCTTAATACTCAAAAATTCTTCTAAATCTGGTCAGTAAATACCTCGTTTAGCAGGCATAATTCGCACATTCTTTAATTGTTCGGAGGTAGCTTCGCGTAAAATCTCATATCAGCCAGTAGGAATAGTAATAGAACGACTATCACTCAAATGAGCAGTAATAAATTCTTTATCACATTCAACCTCTAAAATGGTAGGTTGTAATTTTTCACCTTCCAGCAGTCGAAAGCCTGAAAAGGAAAAATTTTTACTTTCTTGGGGTTGTAGGATTGAGTTCATAATATTTGTCTTGTAGTAATTTTTTTTGTTGCTTGATGATTTTTAAGATTTCTCTCCACTTGTGGCGAGGAATGTTGTAACATTCCTCAATATCTAAACTTTCGTTTAACCAAACTTTCATTTCCCCAGTCATGTCCGAAGTAAGCACGTGAACGTGGGCAGGTTCAAAAGGGCTTTCGTTCAAGTAGATATAGAACTTATAACCGTTATCTCTTAGAACGCGAGGCATCAATTAATTTTATTTCTTATACACTCATTGCTCGCAGTGAGGGCATTGGGCTTTGCCCGTTTGTTGGAGTTCTTTATTTTTAGCCTTTTTTTCTT